AGTTTTGAAATGCAAGCCAAGTGACAACAATATACTAGTTATTCAAACATAATGTACATGATATAGTAATTCAAACAGCCCCCAGCATTATCGATTCATGCATTTATGCTCTCTTTTCAAGCCTATGTAATTATATGATAAATGAAATCATTCATTACAATAAACCTTATGTCGTAAGAAATAAGATAGTCATAGGAAAGCAGGTTGGAATCTTCAGTTATCAGAGAGTATGACTTATCTTCCCTCTTCCCTCCCTCCCTTCAGCCCTTATAACATTCATCCTATTCTCATTAGTAATGCGTTACTGCAACTCTCTTGCACTTAAAAACCTACTTTACTTTATTTTAATAAGAGTCCCAAAATACAAGAGCAGTGATACTAAAAATGCTTGGAATATCTATTACTTTAAAATAGATGTTCAAGATCATAGCAACTTCTTATTCATTTACAGTAGTAATGCGTGTCGTCATCACCCACAGTTAGGAGATTTGAACAAATTAGAGGATTCATTCCCCCCCCCCCAGCACTTATTGCTGAAGTCATTGTTTAGGAGAAAGAAATTACCTTGAAGTGCCTGTTCTAAAGTAACTAACTATAATAAAGAATAGTATTCAATAAAATAAAATTCTTATTTCTATCAGCTTTTGAAAGAATATTTATGTAGTACAGTAAAAGGACTACATTTCTTTAATATTATTCTGGAAATTAGCAACCTTTTGCACATTCAAATAGTATCAATATATTCCAGTGTGCAATAGATACATAATTTTTGCTTGTTTTTAATACATTTATTTAACAATATAAAGAATAGATAATTTTTGCTTGTTTTTAATACATTTATTTAACAATATAAAATATAACATTCAGTGGCATAGCTGGGTAGTCAAGAGGAAACATTTATCCCTAGGTACAGCATTCCAGGAAGCACCAAACTGATGTTCCCTATTGGATTCTGACAAACTGGAAGGGGTGTAAAATCTTCAGTTGTCTCCGGGTGCTGAAAACCCTAGCTACCCTCTAAGAACCTTTGTAGACTATAATATACTCTGTTACTGTTTTATTTAAAACTAGCTATCTCTTGCATTATTTATCAATAATGTCTTACGTACATTCTGTGTTGTACAGCATTCATTAATATCTGCAACAAGACTTAAAACATAATAGTAATGTGAATATGGGGACACTACCATATTGTATGTTCTGATTCTAATTCAGAAATGAACATGTAAAATAAGTTTGAAAAAAACTACTTAGAGAATTTCTTCTGGCAGAAATAAACTGCTTGCTCTCCCATCAGCCTGGTTAGAAATATTGATAGTATCTAAATACAGTCAAAAATCGTTAATTCGGACACCCATAATCCGGACCTCAAAGCTAAAAACTTTCTGCGCATACGCCCCGCTGACAAATGCGCATAGGCTTTTACGCGTGCGCGTAAGACCTTTACGACTGCGCATATGCGTGTGCGCAAACGCAGAATACGTTCGCGTGCGCGTTTAATGTATAACGGACGGTATAAGCTAAAATTATGTAATTATCTATTTCAGTTAATGTTGATGATTGCGTTGTTCCTTAATCTTCGAAGTGGATCCGGCTTATTATTTTTTGCAGACTGTAAGAGCAATTTTATAAAAGTAAACTTGAACTTTCGATTATGTCAAATAGAATTTCCGATGCTGGAGCTCCAAAAAGATCTACAAAACGAAAGTATGTTTCGATGTCCATCAAACAAAAAAGTAGAATTGCTGCAAAAAATGGATAAAGACATGAAGAAGGTGACAGAGAGGTTAGTGAAAACGAAAAAATTTCGATTGACAAGTTAGTCGGTATTCTCGGCACAGCAATTACGGGACTTGAACAGCGGAACTTTGAACAAGAAATTATGTCTGTTTATAGAATTAAAGAGAAAGTATTATCACATAAAACAACGCAACTTACATTGAAAGAAATGTTTAATAAAGTAAACAAATAAATATTAAAGCTTTTTTTTTTTGTAAATTTTGATACCCTTTAGATCATAATTGTTCTTTATTTCATAAATTACGGTTTAATATTTTTAATTTTAGAATTTCTGCATGCCATCCTACGAGATTTAAACTGATGATCTATAATCCGGAAAAATCGATAATCCGGAATTGCCGAAGTCCCGACGAGTCCGGATTAAAGACTTTTGACTGTAGATTCAGAATTTAATTTCTCTTAGAACTGAACCAAGACAAATGGGATAAATTAAAAGCAAATGGGATATCAGTGTTTTGTCTTGTTACATAGGTACTTTTAATAATTTACTATTTGGATGTACATATTATATTGTAAATCACTTACAGATGACTCTTATTCCTTACATATATTTATTATAAGTATATAAATAAATAAATAAAAAGCTTGTGGTTTTACACAATTAGATATTTTATAATAAAACCAATACATAAAAATTTTAACTTCGAAGCATTCTTTTTTACACACTCTTAAGTCAAAGCATTCTTTTTTACACACTCTTAAGTCAAATGTGTTTCCTTTTTCTGCAGTTTCAAAGTAAAATTAAAAACAAAGAATTAGTTAGCATGATTATTATAAATTTAGCAACAGCTAACAACAAATAATAAATAACAAATGTCAGCTAAAAAACAGTACTGATAAAAGGTTTAATTCTCACAAATAATTTTTTTCTATAATAAAAATTGCATTAATTTTTATTTGAAGGAAAAACTGCAATTAATTTTTAATCAGAATTCTACATTCATACAACATTTGACAGCTCTCATATCTCATATTTTCTGGGTTCCAGTGGCATAGCTAGGGTGGGGCAAGGGGGGACATCTGTCCCCGGGTGCAGCATCCACGCAGCGCCAAACTGATGCTATGAAAATTTTTCATGAAATGTTTTCCATTCTTGGCACACAGATAGGGGCGCAAATTCTTCAGTTGTCCCCGGGCACTGGAATCCTAGCTACGCCACTGCTGAGTCCATTATTAAAATTATTAATTTAACTTTCTAATGAATATAGGGGTCTTGCACAACCTCAATACTTTAATTTGGTGTTGTTTTTACTATCTGAATGTTGGTCAATGCAACATGTTCATATTGTTTGACTAGTTTATATATATATATATATATATACATACTTTATGATATAACATCATAAAGTGTATGATAGAATGCGGTTGCTGACTGCTTTATGTATCCATTCTTGAATATCAAAATTCGGTACTTACGTATTAATACAACCACCTCAGGAGAAGTTGCCAAACTCTGGAAACCATGCTGGTTAGTCTATATTAGGGTACCCCTTGGATTATTGCCAAGTTTTTGTTTCGTTTATGGTAACCTGAGTAGTTTAATGTTATGGAAACTCTGTTATGATGTGTTGGTAATCAGCAGTGATTGCAGCGATTTTGACTGATTGGATATTTGTAAGGGCTTACTTAGGTATGGATGTTGATTAGGAAGTATGTTGCTTGTGCAACATATTTATTTACACCATAAAATCCCTACTGTTGGTATGATTAACCTGAAGTTTATGTACACTTTGGAACCACTGGGAAAGAAAACATTGATTGACTGTTGTGTAAATGAAGATTTAAATGGCTTTATTCACCTTTCGGTAAATTACACAGCGAGATTTAAGGATTTTGAAACTGGAGCTCATATCAACACTACGGAAGCTATGGTGTAATAAGAAGGGATTTTTGAAAGAAATGTTACCGACAGTCTGGCAGTATGGAGGATACTTTTCATTTTTACTTTTATGAATTCATGTGGCAACGGCAGTATACAGATTCTAGTTTAAATAATTTTAAATCGTTTTTTGATGCTGTTAAAGAATTCTGTGTGTAACACATATCGAAGAAACAGAAATTTTTAACTAAGCTGATATTTCCTTTTTGTTCTGCATAGATTAGATAACACGTATTTCCAATCTTATGTTATTTCCGTGTTTGATTTAAAATGCAGTTTACTGAGATTATATATTTTTTGTTTTAATCGTGTTCTGGATGCCATTTTACTGGGAAGGGCATTGGACATAAACAGGAAGGGCGCCAATTTTTGCCAAGGGGTACCCTGAAATATATTTTAACCACCATGCTAATAACAATCCTTCAGTCAAGCAAAACTGCCATTTTCGTATGCATTCTCTTTTGCTGTATTCTAAGTTCCAATGGTTTTTATAAACAAATCATGATATTTTTTACCTTAGTTTTAAAATATGAGGTTGTGGAATTTGCCAGCAATGGAAGAAACTGCGGTAAAATTTCTACAGGAATACAGATTTTTTTTGAAAATTTTCTAAAGTGTTACGAATATATCGAGGAAATACATTTATACAGATATTGAGGAAATACATTTGCTAGATATCTGCTGTTTTTAAGGTTTGCACAAAGAGAGTCTCTGCAATTTTCTGATGTTTTTAAAAACAAAACTTGATCATGAACACCATGATCGGAACAAAAAAAATTACAGAAAGATTTGAAAAAGAATGTAAGTGCATTTAAAATTTGTATTTTTAATTGCTAAAGTATGCTTTTTTTCATATATTGATAATGTTTACTAACTTAATAAAAAATCATAAAGTTTGGGAATCTTTCTTAAAAAAAAAAAGACACAAAAAGCATCAACTTGCAGCCAATAAATAATTTTTACCTTTTCATATGTAAAAATTGCATGAAGGTGGTTGCATTAATATGTAAGTATCCAAAATTCTGTATCCCTTCTAGATTAATAAATCTCCAATAAGATGCTTCTCAATTGAATGTATTTGTTAAAATAATTTTACGATTTTTCATATGTATTCATTACAGCCATACTGAATACTTTTTTTTTAACTTCCAGCTGTTATTTTGAACATACCCACGATATTCTAAAAAACTAAGCAAAAGCTTTCACAAATCCCCCCCCCCTCTATAAAAAGTATAAAGAAAATAACAGTCTTCCGTTAAGGTTTAATAAATATTCAACGAAAGAAATAAGTATTTTTTATTGAAGAATAAAGATGGCTTACCAATTGCTGCTATTTTTTTGTTATCTATCCATATTCCGACATCATTAGTTAAGGTAGCTTTTAAGCCAAAATCAACACACGTTCCAATAACGCAGTTCTCTAACTGTCTAACATACCATTTAATGCTTTTCTTGGCACAGAAGTTCCCTAGGTAAATTACTGGATAACAAACTAACTGGCCAGGTCCATGAAAGGTAATTAAACCACCACGGTCTGTAACTATATAATCTGCTCCCAGTGCTTTTAATTTTTGTTCATCTTGAATGTATTGTTTGTTTCGAATACCTACTGTGTATACTGGGTCATGCTCAACCAAAAGTAAATACCCATTTGCAAATTTTGTACTAGAATTATATATTGTTTCCAAAACATTTTGATATGCCTCTTTTTGTAATCGAAATGCTTCTTTAAAGCCCATTTGTCCGAGTTTTCGGACGCAAATTGTAGGTACATAGGATATCATTGCGTATAGTCATGTGTAAAATTAATATTTGTAAACAACTAAATAAATAAATAAATTTAAATCAAGTTACAAAAACGTAGAAATTCCATCCTAACATGAGAAACCCGGTTCCTGCAACCGAATAAATCCCTTCAGAACGTAAACAAAATAAATGCATTATGTACAGTTGAGTTGAAATATTTCTGATTACACTGAAAGAATTATACAGTAGTTCAAATATATTTCTTAAACTCAATAACTTAAGTAGGAGGTATTGTATCGTTAATTTAGTTTTAAATGTTGTACATTTATACAAATTATTTGTAAAGAAATATTGATTCCGAGGACCGCAGTTAATATCGGCACCTGTAACGGTTTTAATGTAAACAAAGTAACCAAATGTTTTATTAATTGGTTGGTGCAATGACATTATACGAGTTAATGTTAAATATTAAGTAAATGACGCTTTAATTTCCTGTTTAGCTGTAAGTTTAGAAAGGGAGATATTATTTGAAACAGTTAGCTTTTGGTCTGTTCTAGAATTTCATAGTTAAAAGTAAGCAATTAAGATTGTTTAGTATTTTACGGTATTTTTCCCCCTCTGTTTTAAATTATAAGAATTTTATATTCTCATGTGGAAATGCGTACTATTATCATTAAATCTGAATATAAAATTCTGTGAATGATGAAATACATACATTTATTGACTTGAGTTGATCTAAAAATTGCCGAAAATTGCTGTCTTTGGAAAATTTTAAGTGACCCGAGATTCTTTCTGTGGGAATTCGATCAAAGCCACTAATTCTCTCCTTCCCGAAATGAAATGTCATGTACTCTGATATATTTATAGAAATGTAATAAAATTCATACTTACCATGCCACAAAACTTTTTTTGTCGCAAACAATTTCACGATCTTTAACATATAAATTTTGTTATCCTTACATATTATCATTACATATTTTATGTACCTGATGCATATTTATACTTGTTTTTGTATTAAGCTCATAAGCTGTCTTAATTTATAGCAACAGATAAATTTTTTCCTCTCAAATTTCCAGATACTCAATTAAGTTTTGTTTTTGGTGTGTACAGCTTAAGAGGAAAAAGAAAAAGTATTAGTAATTAATAAAAATATAGTATTATAAATTGGCGTGGCTGTTGATATGTCTTGTTTGGGATAAATGTTTATGTGAAACAGCCCTCTGCTGTTTATTATAATTGAAAGACCTGGTTCCAATAGTCAGACAATGTGAAAATTGAAATTTTTCAATGATTAGATATTCTAAATAAAATTATATTCTTTCTAAAAAAAAAAAAAAAAAAAAAAAAAAAAAAAAAAAAATGGTGGAAGGGAGAAGTGGATAATTTCAGTTTTATTTGAAAGCAATTTAAAGTTGGAACTAACCATACTGAACTGACAAGCAAAAAGCAGGGCCCTGCAGCACTAGCAGTGAGGGGAGCATAAATATTAATAAAATTCGATAGCATTTCTCTCATGCAATAATACTTCTGTACTTTAAATGTTTGAAATCTTATATGCACTGATATTCCAGTTAAGCAATCAATCGATTGCAATCTGACACATTGCTAAATTTGATTCAACTGCCAATATTGTTGCAAAAATAACTGTAAAAATCACAGCTACCTTTCTTTTTAGTAGAATTTTACCATCACAATGTTGCTATTGTTGTCATCAAACTAAAGGACTTGAAACTCAGTTCAAGTTCATTGCTGTAAACGCAATGACGTGACAGTGTTGTCTCCATTGACAACTTTCATAGCTGCTTCCAAAATGAGCTATTCCTAAAAATCCATTGATAATTGCTGTCCTGTAACGAGTGAAGTGCAGAATCGCACACTTATTTGGCGCTTTTTACAAGAGTAAGAAGAATTGGATTTTTGTCAATTTCCTTTAACTTTTTAAGTGAAAATAGATTGATGTGTACATGGACAAAGCCAATGGAGTGTGCATTGCTGAGTTTGTGCAATTCTCTGATGTTTCTTTTAAGTGAAAATAGGTCGATGTGTACATCGATACTGAGTTTGTGCAATTCTTAAAAATGCGCCAAGCAGTGGGTGAATCTGCACTTTTCCCCACTGTAACATTGGAATTAAAAAGCCTTTCGTTTATCGTACTCTGATATGTATAAGGGTCAAAAGGCAATTAAGTTGTCCATGCACGCTAGATTGTTGTTAAGTGTTTGACTTCTTAAGTTTGCTTATGAATGTGAAGATTTCACATTTTCAGACTTTTTGATTTAAGCATTATAGAGTCAGAAGTCGTTAATCCGGACTCATTGGGACTTTGGCGATTCCGGATTATCGATTTTTCCGGATTATAGATCATCAGTTTAAATTTGGTAAGATGGCATGCAGAAATTACAAAATTAAAAATATGAAACAGTAATTTATGAAATAAAGAACAATTATGATCTAAAGGGTATCAAAATTTACAAAAAGAAAAAGCTTAGTATTTATTTGTTTACTTTATTAAAGATTTCTTTCAATGTAAGTTGTTTAAGTTGCTTCGTTTCATGTGATAATACTTTCTATTTAATTCTATTAAACAGACATAATTTCTTGTTTAGTTACAAAGTTCGGCTGTTCAAGTCCTATAATTGCTGTGTCTAGAATACCGACTAATTTGTCAATCGAAATTTTTTCGTTTTCAATAACCTCTGTCACTTTCTTCGCTATCGGAAGCGAATTATAATGACGAGGAACTTGTTTTAAATCATATCAAAGACGGAGTACATCAAGATGAAATACTACATTTGGTAAGGAATTATAAGCCAAATAAAGTAAAAAGATAAGGATAGTGCTGACAGATCAACTTCCAATTCATTGCGTGCCGCGGCGTTCCCCCCCGCCGAGCAGCGTGAAATTGATAAACAGATTTCGAAACATACTTTCGCTTTAGATCCTTTACATATTAGCAAATATATATCGGAAATTCTATTTGATATAATCGAAAGTTCTAGCTTACTTTTATAAAATTGCTCTAACAGTCTGCAAAAAATAATAAGCTGGATCCAATTTGAAGATTAAGGAACTACGCAATCTGCAACATTAACTGAATTAGATAATTTTAGCTTAGCTTATACCGTCCCACATTAAACGAGCATGCTTAAACGTTTTATGCGCACGCGCACACGCATATTCGCAGCTGTAAAGGTCTTACGCGCACATGTAAACGCCTATGCGCATGCGTCGGGCTGACGCATGCGCAGAAAGTTTGTAGCTTTGAGGTCCGGGTTATGGGTGACCAAATTAACAACTTTTGACTGTATTACTTTCCAGTTTGTACTAATTTATGTTCAGAAAAGAAAGATAGGTACAGTCAAAAGTCGTTAATCCGGACTCGTCAGGGCTTATTCCCGATTATCGATTTTTCCGGATTATAGATCATCAGTTTAAATCTCGTAAGATGGCATGCAGAAATTCTAAAATTAAAAATATTAAACCATAATTTATGAAATAAAGAACAATTATGATCTAAAGGGTATCAAAATTTACAAAAACAAAAAAAAAAAAAAAAAAGCTTAATATTTATTTGTTTACTTTATTAAACATTTCTTTCAATGTAAGTTGTTTAAGTTGCTTCCTTTCATGTAATAATACTTTCTCTTTAATTCTATAAACAGACATAATTTCTTGTTCAGTTCCAAAGTTCCGCTGTTCAAATCCCGTAATTGCTGTGCCGAGAATACCGACTAACTTGTCAATCGAAATTTTTTTGTTTTCACTAACCTCTCTGTCACCTTCTTCATATCTTTATCCATTTTTTGCAGCAATTCCACTTTTTGTTTGATGGACATCGAAACATACTTTTGTTTTGTAGATCCTTTGGGAGCTCCAGCATCGGAAATTCTATTTGACATAATTGAAAGTTCAAGTTTACTTTTATAAAATTGCTCTTACAGTGTGCAAAAAATAATAAGCCGGATCCAATTCGAAGATTAAGGAACAATGCAATCATCAACTTTAACTGAAATAGATAATTTTAGCTTATACCGTCCGTTATACATAAAAGGCGCACGCGAAAATGTATTCTGCTCTTGCGCACACGCATATGCGCAGTCGTAAAGGTCTTACACGCACGCGTAAACGCCTATGCACATGTGTCAACGCGGCGCATGCGCAGAAAGTTTTTAGCTTTGAGGTCCGGATTATAGATCATTCCGGATTATGGGTGTCCAAATTAATGACTTTTGACTGTATAAAGAATGGAGTTTTTCAAAACACATTTTAAATTTTGATTAAATGTTTTTATTTGACACAAAAAGGTATTGATTTTATTTAAAAAGAAAAAGAAAGAATATGGATATTAGTTCAACTTAAAATATTTCTGTGTTTCTGAAAGTAAAACAATATAAAGAGAAAGGTAGGAAAATTTTTAAAAAAATCGAGACCCTAACATTAAGCTGTGAAATATTTTTATGACTTATGATATTTTATATTTTTAGAGTTTTAAAATGCTAGGATACAGTTTAAAGTAATCTGTAATCTGAAGTATTATTTCCTTCTCCATCATCACCATACCATGTGTGAAAGAGCTATGCTTTGATTCTCTTAAAAACATATTCTAATGGAACAATTATAATTATTACGTACCTTTTTTAAATTTTTCGTTATGAAAGAAGTGAAACTAATTTTGTTAGTAAAAATTTTGGTTCCATTTGTTGCACTTTGGTGATTAATTTAATCGTTTCAATTTAATTAAAATGAAATTATTCATTTATAAATATTTTCCATGTCTTAAAGTGAAGTCCATAGATTTACTGGAATTAGAACTTTTATAAATAAAAATTTCTTAATACTTTATCTCTGGGCCAATTTTGTACGCATTCATGCATGTAAGTAATAATTTTATTTATTTCAATAATTAACAATACTAGGTAAGTCTTAAGAAATTTATGAAATGAAATTCGAAACAATTTATAAAATAAAGTGCTTCAGTAGTATCCATTTGGTGGCATGAACAGCATTTGGTAAATCTCTGGATTATGGTAACTTGGCAATTTTGGAGAAAATTTGGCAACCAACCCTGCTACAGCAACCTGCTAGTTTTGTTTTGGACGCCATTTTGTTTTCACGAAGTAAAGGCATTTTTTTTTTACTCAATATTTCTTCCAACAATCTGCTACCCGAATTATGCTTATATGTACTAGAACTTTTATGGAAAAAAAATGCTTAATCATGATGAAGATTAGGTGCGAAATTGGAAGAAAGTGCAGAATGAAAAACTGCTTGCCGCGTTTTTAAGAACTGCACATACACGGTATCATCCATATACACGTCAACCTATTTTCACTTAAAAAATCTTCCCAGAATTGCACAAAAATAGCATTGCACACACTCTTGACTTTATCCATGTACACTACTAAAGTCCTAGCTAGTAACTTTTATCGCCTTACCAAAATGTCGCCAAACTATCTGTTACCATATTCCAAAGATTAGCCCAGCATTTTATTTAGTAATATTTACCTGATTATTAATAATATTTAGCTTCTTTTTATTCTGTTCGGGATCTGTTTAAGAAATTTTAGGGCCTT